AAGTGGCGTTCACTGGAAGATCGCAATCCACCGGAACTTGATCCAGAACTGTATTGCTGGGTAAGGAGACTAAATTGAGAAGATTGCTCCTGTGGCTCATCAAATGCGGATGCACGAGTGACGCCCAAAATAGTACGCTTGCTCTTGTAGCTGCCAGTGGCGGCGCCAGCCACTGGTGGTTGGAGGGACAAAGCTGGGGCAAAATCTAAGGTTAAGGGAGCAAAGTCACGAGCTTCAACTAGGGGTAGGGGAGCCTTCCCCAGAAATTTTTGAAAAACAGGCTGCCAGAAATGCAGCCTGGCAGTATTTCAGGCACTGATCGTTGAGATAAAGTCTCAAACGAACGGACTTGCAAACGTCCACGAAGCCCACTCACGTGCGCCAAAGTAGGGATTCCTTACGGAGGGTATGGGTGACCTCCCCCAGAAAATTTTGAAAAAGAGACTGCCGGAAATGCTGTCTGTGTATTCAGTCAGGCACCGATCGTCGAGATAAATAGATCTTACCAGATACTGTCCGTCGCCTGATCACTAGTTTATCCGACCAGAAAACAAAGTGTCAAACAAACGGACTTGCAAACCTCAACGAAGTCCCCTAGGGAGCGCCAAAGTAGCGAGTCCTTGTGGGGGGTATGGGTGACCTCCCCAAGAAAATTGTGAAAAATAGACTGTCGGAAATGCTGTCTGACAGTATTTTGGCACAGATAATCGAGATAAATAGAGCTGGTCTGATACCACCTGTTGTCCGATCACTAATCTATCCGACCCCAGAGAGGAAAGTGTCAAATGAACGGACTTGCGAACCTCAACGAAGACCCAGAAAATTTGAAAAGTAAACTGCCCGAAATGCAGTCTGGCAGTATTTCAGGCACTGATCATCGAGATATATAGAGCTTACCAGATACTGCCTGTCGCCAGATCACTAGTTTATCCGACCAGAGAGGAAAGTGTCAAACGGACGGAGTGAGTGAATCAAAGTGAATGAATATTTTCGCTACAATATTTTTGGTAATAGACTGCGGGAAATGCAGTCTGGCAGTATTTCAGATACTGGTCGTCGATATAAATAGAGCTGACCAGATACTGTTCGTCGCGAAATCTCCAGCTTATCGGAACAGAGAGGGAGGTGTCAAACGAACGGAGTGACTGTATCAAGTGAATGCATATTCTAGCCGCGTACGTTGAACATATACCCAAAAACTTTGAGGATCATGAAAAGCAGTTCTCAAGTGATTCACGTGTTATTGTTTATAGTATGTTTACAGCAGGATGGTGAGAAATCACTTGGTGAGAAATCACTCAGCGGGCTCTACAACATTCAAGTCTATGACTGAGTGGGTATGTGGGATTTAATCACTGTAGAAGGTATTGATTACCGAAACGTATCACAAATACTTTTTTTTAAATTTTTTAAAATTATTGGGGGGGGGGGGCAAACAGGCCCCCCTTGCCCCCGCCACTGGTAGCTGCACTAGGGATGGCTTAGAATGTATAGTATTTTGCACCTGTGCTGTCGCAGGTTGCAACCAGACACACGACTAAAGGATTAAACTGAATATTACCTAGTTTTATGGGAGTATTTTCGTATTTTTTCGAGTAGAAATTATTTTTTTAAATGTTCAAAACACAGCTTGTGCCCTTCTTTTCAGGACCGCCCCATATGGCCCTGGACCCCCTGTTAGGCATGTATGTGGTGGTATTGTATCAATCATATGCTCCTATGTCCAGAAATATATAGTTTGGTTAGGTGAAATAATTATTGTCCCAGTCGCCGCTATGAAGTTAAATGGTCATATTGTCTGGTATTTTGCATTTTACTATCATAATGGATGATTTCAGTGTATTCCTTGGCCCCAAACACATAGGTTAGAAACCAAAATTATCATCCTAGACAAAATAATATGGGGGTTATAGGGGATTATTTGAAATGACGGTCATCTTGGACGCCATCTTGAATTTCTCAAAACGCTCAAGGGTGACCCAGGTTCAACCGGCAGATTCTTAAAGAGTACACCACAGGCTACTAAAATCAATCATAAAAAAAACTTTGTATACAATTTCCCGGTTCAGCCATATAGTGCTGCCAGACTAAGTGTTTTGACGTCAAAATAACGTCGTGATAACCATTTTTTCAGATTCATTGGTATCACTTTTGAATCTAATGATATACATTTATGTGCTCTAAAACGAGCCGTTTCCAAGATATGGAGGCCAGAAAGTCCAATTGGCGGCCATCTTGGATTTATGCTAATTATGAAAAACGCTACAGGGTTTCGGCGGACAATTTTGAGTTGGGAGTCCTTAAGACATCCCTTCACTAGATTCCAGTGAAAGAAATTCTTTTGCAATTTGTTCTCGGTAATTGACAAACAGAAATTATATCTCTCCGTCTACAAGGACTGACACGAGTATTAATCTCACTGATAATTGATTGGTGAACAAACGATCCTATTCCGTGTCACGTACAAGCCGGGAATCGAAACCACGTCACTAGAATCAGTGACCGAATTTAAAAATTAAAAATGACGGCCACTTTAAAAAAAAATCACAACGAATTCTAGACATAAGTTTGTCCTTAGAAATTATCAATCCTTCAGGACACAATTACGTCCAGAATTTGTTTTGATTACTAAAGATGTACATGCATGGTTTTATAAATATAAAATACATCAAATACGACTCTACATTTTGTACATTCACTTTTCCTGATTGACAGAATCTATACGAATTCCAGCAATCTTATTTCTACGAATACAAAATATTCCTTGGACTAATACATCTCGTAGTATTTATCAGGTCTGGAACAAAGGATATTAAACAAAATATTCTTGCTTAAGAAATACATTTTATTAAAAAGCAAACTATGATTGATAAGACTACTTTCCCGGAAAGGTATGTGTGGTTCACCATTTTGTATATTTAAAATATGCGATGCCAATCATAGGATATTATATCATGTACAATATATTTTATTTTATTTGTTTGGTCATGCAATCTGAATAAACGTAGATATACTGTATGTGTTACTTCGACAGGTTTCTGCGAGTCCTTCTGAATCAGCCGTCTTGGTTGATCCAGAAAAGTAGACGTTAAAATTCATTTTATTCACCCTTAAACGCCATTTGAACAGAATGTTTATATTATTTTAAATCAAAGAATTTCTATATTAACTTGAGCTAATCACACAAATCCTTTAAATAAGAAAGCGATAACAGATAGCACAAGCATTGGCTACACCAACAACATTAATTTAAATCATATAGTCATTAGTATACCACCAACTAATTGTGTTAGAAAAATTGACATATAATGAATTGGCACTAAATACGAATATACATATGTCCAGCATTAGCAAAAAAAGCAAGATTTGACCATTTTTAGACCACAGAATTACTGATTAATGCTTTTGTTATGTCATCTTTTGATTACTATATCTCATTATTATACTCTCTGCCAAAATACCTACTTGATCAACTACAAAAAAATCAGAATAAAGGTGCCAGAATTGTGACCAGTACTAAACTATTGGAACATATTACACACGTTTTAAAAGATGTAGATTGGCTACACAAGATCAATTTTAAGATAAAAACCTATATCAACGAACATTCTGCACCAGCTTATTTGACTGATTCATTATCACAATATGTTCCAGCTAGAACTTTACGTTCATCAAATTTAATCAGTTAAATTAGTTTGTACTGTTCCTAAATCCAAACTTGGAAAAAGAACGTTCGCTTAAGTTGGTCAAAAAGGGTGGAATAAAATACCAAAATTGTACAGAATAACCTCAATATATCAACCTTCACCAATAAACGTTCTAATATCTTTCGCTATAATTATCAAAATTAAATTTATGTTATATTTTGTGCATGAAACGCGTCATGTTTGTGCATCTCTTATAATTTTGTTTTACGTTTGTTTGCTTGTTGTCTATGTTATATCGTTTGTAAAACGCCACAGAGCTGTCAAACAGACTGAATTATTATAATTATTATTTAAAACAAAACATTGCATAAGATAGAAAAATAGCCACGCCAAGCATGGGAATACGCCCACACGGCTGTTTTGTCATAATTATCATACAGCCAAAGACAGCAGCTTATTCAAAATATGTATTTTTATTCCGTTTACAAGATTTTTGCAATCATATTATATCCCTGGAACACAACGTCCTACAATACGAGCTTCATCCTCTTACTTCCGGTTAATCTACCCGCCCCACCCCCCAAGTGCTATGCATCACACCAAATTTGAAACACACTAAATGTTAAAAACTGTTCTATGACATTAACAATGTTTTCAGTAAAGTTGAGGAAACTCCAGAAGACACGGAATACCTATCGGTTCATTCCAATGCTTCACAACAAAAAAAATACCTTGTCTGGGTGACAAGGACTGTATACCTCTAAAACGAATACTGAAAATAGAGGCGAATCATCTTTTCGTGGAGTTTATGATCATATCATGTTTCAAAAATATTCTTTCAACAACTCTAGCCTCAATACCGTTAAAAAGAACGTTTTCTGTCGGAAACTGTTAAAAAGCAATTCTTGAAGACGGGCGTCAGCGACGACTATATGCGCATACACTACATATTGGCTATATAAATATAAATGAGCTTACTAATTAATCTATCAGTTTGAATAGGAAAGAGGACGTATGAATATGTTAAACATGGCAAAATCATAATTGTTGAGCTAATGTAATAACTGATTATAAGGTTATAGCATTGCAATTCTAAGCTAAACATCACCAACAAACCCACGAAACCCTTTTCAACGTTTCAAATATCAAACTCTAGCTAAACCAGCTCTTTACCCAGCCCAGAGTACCTGCTCCAGCTTTGTAGATAGAGGACCCTATTTGACCAAGAAATGAGTCATTGGATTCAATCTCCTCCAGTGCCCGCCTGTTGGAATTAATCTGTGTGTTTTCCAAAATCCGGTTTTCAACATCAGCAATTTTTTTTAATGCTTTGGAAAGGTCCGAATTCCGGTCCTCTTCAATTTTTTTCTGCACCATTTCCTCTAGCTTCTTACGACGTTTTTCTTCCTCTGCGAGTTCCTGTTTTCTTTTTCTCTCTTCTTCTTGTAGGCGTTTATTTTCCTCTTCTAGCTTTCTTAGTCTACTATCTTCTTTTTGCATCTCTCGAGTTCTTATACCCTCTTGTTCACGAATTCGTTTTTGTTCTTCGTTAAAGGTCATGAGTCGAAGTTCTTCTTCTTTTGTGTTCTCTTCTTAATTGCGCATCCGCTCTTCAAGTTCTTCTAACTCGCGTCTTTTCTTCTCCAGTTTCTGTTCTGTGTCTTGAGTGTCTGTAATTAGTCGTCTATCCATTTCCTCAGCGCAGGATTCTGTCACTGCATTAAGAATTTCATTTTTTTCTTGGAGAAGTTTTTCTTGTTTGCGTTCCTTTTCATGTTGTATTTCCTTTCTCTTTCCGTCAACAATTTTTTCAGCTTCCTCATACATGGCGTTTGTGTAGTAGTCTCCCTGATTTTCGCCAATAGTTTTAAAGATCAAATCCAATATGACGTCAACATCTTCTTGTAAGGTATCCGCATCTGCCTTGTTGTTGATGAAGGCGAATCTATGTCCACATTTTTTTAGTAGATCTTGCAATTCAGGAGGTGCATTTTCAAGGAAATCTTTCGGTGGCGCCCCATCCAATTCGTCCTTACGTGTAAAAACAACAATGACATGTTTTATGACTCGCTCACCAAAAACTTCTTGGAGAATTTCCACAGTATTGAATTCTTCTGGTGTGACTCTTCCCACCCCGATGACAAATATATAGATATGTGGACCAGGAGCAGCAAGTGCTATACTTCGTACTATTTCTTTGCTAGTTGTCTCATTTGGTTCCTTGGTATCGAACAAGCCTGGGGTGTCAATGACCAAAAGAGTGGTATTTTTATCAAGTTGCCTCTCCTCAAATTTGCACTTTTTTGTGACGGATATAAAACTTACAGTTGATGTAAAAACTTTCCTTTTCAACAGATTGTTACCAAGAAGGCTTTTGCCTATACCGGTTTTACCAAGTAGAGCAATTCGAACATCACCTAAAATAGAGAACAATGTACAATATGGATGTTGACCTCTTAAGTTGATGTACAAGCATGTACATCATAAAGCTGTACCCTCAGCGCTGAAACCATTTGGTATAAAGAACACTAAAAGAGGATTTTAATTTAATGGAATGGGGCTAAAATTAAACCCCGTTTCCGCAGAACTTTGTCTCCGCCATCAATCGCTGTTGAAATAGGTGTTAAGCGGAGCAAACGAACGAATGGATCTCCAAAGCCGATATAAAGTCCCGTGTTAGAAAGGGGATCTAATATTATGGTCAAGAATCGGGAAATTCTTTAAATCGCCAACACACCACTAGGGAGAGAGAGAGAAATAGGGTTTAACGTCCACTCGACACAAACTAGGTCATTTCGGGACTAACACATGGTTCAATTTTATTTCAATAATTCGCTTGCGCGTAGGGGTCTTTAGCAGTGGGAGGAAACCGGAGGATCCGGAGAAAACCCACGAGGCTGGACAGGCGCACACCACAAGGGTTAAATTATAAAGATGATAAGAACTAGTAATTACATACCGTGAGGGCCAAGTAGATTGACACCATATCTGAAATGTACAACAGTATGATCTTCTCAAACAAGGCTAGGAGTCTACTAAATAACCTTTAGACACTTTATCTAATGACACTCCCACACGAATGATATATTTGCGGCGAAGTGATTGACTCCCAAATATATAGCAGTGACGAGGCTAAAAATAGACGATCTATGCAAGCAAATAATCTACATCGTGTGTGGTCCAATGTGTACACGGTTTAGAATACGCACTTATGTTTGACGAGGATATGGTCGCCTACCTAATCTCATAGGGTTTAGGAAGCCATGGTGGAGCAGTAAGAAACTGATTCGCTTATCAGATCGTGGGCTCGGGGATGTCGGCGGCGTAGCACACACCATGATGAATGTCTGTATTCATTTACCCAGTTGGTTCAGAAAAAGTAGGACGCTAAAGCCCATTTCATGTCGTAGTTTTTATCTTCACATGGCTAAATAATCTATAACCGGGGATGGGGCACGAAGAGGGGTTAACAATAAACTTGATATCGTTCATACAGATGAATGATTAAGTTGAGATTTTATAGATAGAGGCATATACTTACTTCTTAAGGTCCCTGGTTCTCCTTTCTTGTGCGCGATATTCTTTAAACTCCCTTCTTAATCGTTTGTTTCTATCGGACTTATTTTCTTCAAATACGTGTCCAGTCATTGTGTTGAAAAAACTTCCCAGCCACGATACTGTTTTTTGTTTTTCAGGGACAACCATTCCCTCCACCTCTTTCTGGTCAACGTCCTCAGCTGCTCGTCTTCGTGAAATCTCCAACTGCTCTATTTGTTTTTCCATATCACCAGTCTTGTGGGAACCATCGCCTTTATTCAGAATAATAAGAATGTAAATAAATCTTGAAAGTTTGATTATACTAAGCTTTAATTTGTGGGGTCAGAAACAACCTGTAGAAGTTCACCAACTGTCGCCAGATACAATAACCCTACAGCTTAGGAACAGACTTCAGATTGATGTGTGTACACCATGATATAATAATAAAGCTTATTATAACAGTACAGTAATAATACAGCAGCTACTGACTACAACACACAGGCTCATCATATCTTACACTGTTAAAATTATATGTATATTTACAATTATAAGTATAGCAAAAATAGTGTCGGATTTGTTAAATCACATGGTTTGTTAACTTAAACAATTAAACGATACAAGTGCATATGAATACAAATGCTTATGTAATATTACATCAAATTGAATGTAGTATTACAACCATATGTCAGTTTACATTATGTGAGTTGTATATTACCAGAAATGCCATTTGAAATATTATGTTCACAGAAGATTGTAAATTTACTGTCAAATAGACATCGCCCCCGCACCCCCCAACCCCCGCCCGACCTTTGACCACTAAAGAAGAAAAAATTGATATTAAACGACAAAATAACGAATGATTTAATGGCATGGTTGCTGTGTGATATTGTTTTAGAACATACGGACACTTTTAACTTGCTTTTTCTAAAAACTGCAGATTTCAGTGCATTCAATTCATTTGCAACTAACTGAGAGCTCGCGCGACCGCCCTTTTCCATTTTCGAACGTAAAACAGTCACCCTTGCCCGATGAATAAATAAATTAAATTCTCGTAATGCAATTATATCCACTTTAAACAGCGTTTGTTTACAGTTATCTATAGACTGGTATCGTAACCGTGCCATACGAAAAACTCCATAGTATATACAATGGCTATAATAAATGAAGAGTCCAGGGGAAGAATGATCTAAGTCACATTTTTGTCTTTTCGCATAAAAGGCAAAACAGACTTTTGGACGAGAATGCGTGACGCGAACAGAACAACGAGTGGGTTTAATTACAACTTCAAAATGATGTTTAATACGAATCATAATTACCAGTGCAACAACTGACTTCCACTTTTCAGCCAAATTAAGGTCAAACCAAGGCCATTACAGAAGGGCCTTGGTTTGATGTGACTCCGATCGTTTTTATCTGAAATTGATTGTTCCACAGAAAGCTTATACCATTTGCTGCCAGATGGCGCCATTAACTGGGGTTCGTTGAAAAAGTGACTTAGATCGTTCTTCCCCGGGGCTCTTCAAGTACTTTCAATTAAGGTGTATCGAATATGTAAAATGATAAATATTTGTTGCATCGACACAAAACCAAGAGTACGATAGAGTACCAAGTATAAGAACTCCAATAATTGCCATTTTGGTGCCCATTTTGAAAAACAAGATGGAGGATACAGTCCGGTCGACCCCTGATGCTACAATAAAGTGATATTGCACCAGACGGTTAGAAATATACAGTGAAAAAAAACAAAACAGAATTGTCATTTTGGTCGCCATTTTGATAAAACAAAATGGTCGATATTGTCGGATAAAATTTTACTACTACAATTATCATTTCGGTCGCCATTTTGAAAAAACAAAATGGCGGGTATTATCGGATTGATTCTTATACTGTAAATTATTTGATGTAGTACCCATAAAACCCATACAATGACATTAATAAACACATCACTTGTGAAAACGCGAAAATTTGTCATTTTGGCGTCCATTTTCAAAAGGAAGATGTCAGAAATTGTCGGATCAAATTTTTTACTTTACTACAATTTTCGTCTTCAGCACCCACGAAAACCTTTAGAAAACGGTATTCAACGACAAAACAGCAAATAAATGGCCTGGTTGCTATAGGATTTTGTTTTGAAACATACCAAATCTTTGACTTGAATTTTCTCAAAACTTACTTTGGTGAGTTGGGTGGCTTCAAACGGACACGCTGAGTCAATTTTTGCCCGATTCAAACATCAAATTAGAGGTATTGAGTTGGAGAAAGTGCAAATAACAATAACTCAATTTCCAAAATTTCCTTATTGCGACTCAATTTGATGTGGGCAGTCGATCCATTTTAGAGAAATAGACTGAATGCACCGAACTGGCTAATAAAGGCAGACTTATGTCATACATTGGGTTGTGTGGGACATTTTGCTTTGACGGTGTCATGCCACCTTCCATTGTAAGGAGCAGAACAGTAGGACATTAAACCCCATTTCATTTAATTTCTTTACATTATCGAATGTTGTTTTACATGCTGGGCTGAAAGGTCCTGGATCGAACCTACACTGTTAGAATTTTTTTGTTGCTTACATGTAGTATATTCTTCACAATATAGTACTTTTACCAAGTCTGGTGTATTTGTACGGAGTTTTCGTGTATGTTTACCGAGTTTCGTGTCTTTTTGACAATAAACGGGGATGAAATCAAAGACACCTTAAAAATCAGTAAAAATACTTTCTTACATATATGTAATATTTCCAAATTGAATTGAAAATAAATAACACCAAGCATGTAATATTACAGATCTTACGTTTATTCACACTTATTTGTAAATTTACTTTCAGGTTAGAAATATAAGTAAAATTACAGCAGTTAAATTATTTTCTCTTTACCATAAAATGTTCGGAATATTTACCAAAATGATGTATATTTACCAAGTTTCATTCTTTTTTGTAGTGAACTTTGATGAAATCAAAGGCACGTTAAAATCCGGTAAAAATACAGGATTACATATTTCAATATTGAACTGAAAATAGCAATGCCAGAAGGTAATTTTACAGATTTACGTTTATTCACATTATTTTGTAAATTTACTTATTGGTAGTTATTCCTAATAATTATCTACCTACAGTATTCATTCCAACTTATTAACCATAATATGGACAATCGCATTTTGTGAAATTTGGTATATTGCATGTCATGTATATTTAATCTCAGGCAAACAACTTGACGAGACTGTGAAGATAAAAAGTTTTTAATCCAGGATGCGTTTCGGGCGTTTGCAACTGGTTGCATCACTGAGATCCAAACTTGCCAGAACTGTTATAGGGACTCTTCCGCCCATCCTTTCCTTCGGGTGTGAGGTTTTTTCGTCACCTTCTTGGGATTTTGATTTTATATGATCTATAACGTGCATTGTTATTCATCGTACGTAAATCAGATTGTAAGTATGTTCATAAACTTTTAAACAAATGCTTTGACTTTCATAGTATGTTGTATTTATCTCGTAATCAAGCTCGCTTGAAGACGGTTAATTAAACGGATTGGCCAGTGTTAGCTGGACTGGCTCTAAAGCAAAGTGTCAATGCTTGCAAGTAGACAGTACCGCAAGCTTACATATGAAAGCCTGAAACCGCCGTAATCACTGACGAGCGGCAGTTTCAACCTGTGTTACCTTTTGGCTGACATTTTGATCTCGTCTACCAAACAGGATTAGTCTTATGTTTTCGTTACGCTACAAGCCGGGTGTTCAATGCATCTTATTCAGTTGAGATTTTATTTCCCTTTCACTTTAAAATAATATGATTACGGTCAAATTGTTGTTTAACTAAAAGAAAACAAACGGTAAACGGAAGTTGCAGTCATTGTGTTTTTCAACATATGTCTGTAAATTTTCATTTACTGCTTTTAGGTTATAATTAAAAGTTAAAAGACAAACTTACAGTATTGCGATGAATTTACAGTCATAGTTATTTTCCATTTACTGTTTTCAGGTAAAGTTACACACAAAGTCAAATTACAGAAACTCTGTAATATTACCGCTGAATGTTTATTTACAGGAATTTTACTGGCAACTTTTGCTGTCAGTAATTTTCATGTAAATTTAGCAGACGTTTTCTAACAGTGTAGGACTAATTATCCAAGCAGGGACAAAAACATTCCTTTTAGTAATTTTACCTTGGCAAATTTAACAACACAAACTTGAGTTGAAACAACACAAACCTGTGTTGAAACAACACAAACTTGTGTTGAAACAACACAAACTTGTGTTGAAACAACACAAACTTGTGTTAAATGTTGAAACAACACAAAACTTGTGTTAAAATTTATAAAACAAAACAGACTTGTGTGAAATTCTACACATAACTTGTGTTAAAATTTCTGAAACTTGTGTTGGAATTTCTGAAACTTGTGTTGGAATTTCTAAAACTTGTATTGAAATTTCTGAAACTTGTGTTAAAATTTATGAAACTTGTGTTGTTTCATACAAACTTGTGTTGTATTTAACCAATTTATATCCAGTATAGCAGCCTTTACCATGCAGACCCTCCTTTTGTTCTGTCTTAACTGTAATGTTTGATAAATGACATGACAATAATTTTGTTTGTTACATTATTATTTATTCATAAATTATTATTTATTCATAAAATTATTATTTATTCATAAAATTATTATTTATTCATAACATTATATGAACAATTAAATTAATGCCAAATCAAAAATAAACAGACAGTTTGATGGGTAATAGAAACAAAGTAAATCCAATATTAATAAAATCGTGATATAATGAAAAAATACCCCCCCCCCCCCAAAAAAAAAAAAAAAAAAAAAAAAAAAACAAAAACAAAAAAAAACAAATAATAAAATAAACATAGCCATTAAAATTATAATATAATATAACAACAACATATCCCCCACCCCACTCCAAAAATAAAAACAAGGTTGAAAAGGTGGCCCTATTTATCATTAAAAACAAAAAAACCCCAGAAAGGTAGGATGTTAAATCCTATTTCATTTTATAACATAAAAAAGTAGGATGTTAAATCCCATTTTATTTCATCAGCAAGGGAAAGTGTAATCCTAAACACTAAGGATTTGGCCTGAAACTTGAAATATTATAGAGGGATCATCAATAATTAATAGTAACAGTCGATAATTATATCGATGAAATCAACCTTTAGTTTTAAACATTTAGTGAACATTTCGAATGTTAATGCCTCTGTTATATGAAAGGTTTTATTCATCAATTTTTGTTTTACAAATTTTTAAAATTCTCCATTTTATTTGATTTTTATGCTTTATTTATTTTATCTATGTGTAATTATTTGTCATGTACCTTATCTATTATTTTCCTTTTATGTACTGTAGAAAATTTTGAATTCCTAATCTGTTAAAGGGAATATTTTTTCTTAAAAGTATTTCAATTTAGTGTATAATTAATGTCTTTAGTGCTTGGTTTGGTTGATATTAAAATTTAGATATATTTAAAATGTAAGTTTTGGGAGCATGGGGGTATGGATATTGTGTACATCTATATTATATTCTCAGTTCTTTTTAAGGTTAATTGTAAAAAAAAAATTAAATAGCTTTTTTTTATTTTATTCTGGGATTGGGGGACGGGAATATTGTTATTATTGAACACAATTTTATTAGTATTGGAATTAACTTGGTTTATTAATATTCCAAATGTCTCAGTGCTTGTTTTTTTTTCAATTTAAAAAGCTACTTTTTATTTAATAATTGAGAATGGGGGGTGGGTGGGTTTTATTTTTTCATTGTATAACACAGTTTTAGTAGTATTGGAATTAACTTGTTTATTAACCTGTATTAATATTAATTTGGCATTAATTTAATTATTCATATCATTTATTGAATAAATAATAATTTAACAAACAAAATTATTATTATGTCATTTATCAAACATTACAGTTTAAACAGAACAAAGGGAGGCTCTTCATGGTAAAGGCTGCTACACTGGATATAAACTGGTTAAATACAACACAACAACACAAGTTTTGTTGGTGGTTAATCACAAGTTTGTATGAAACAACACAAGTTCCAGAAATTTCAACACAAGTTTCAGAAATTTCAACACAAGTTTCAGAAATTTTAACACAAGTAATGTGTAGATTTTCACACAAGTTTCAACACAAGTTTGTGTTGTTTGATAAATTTTACACAGGTTTTGTGTTGTTTCTACATTTGACACAAGTTTGTGTTGTATAGAGACACCTAACTTGTGTTGAAAATAACACAAGTTCGTGATGTTTCAACAGAAGTTTTTTTTTAGTGAAACTACTTTAAAATCATATTGAATTTGAGGAATTTCAATATATAAACGTTTCGGTTTTTTGTGTGTTAATAACAACAATCTGATTTTTTTCTAAATGGTGTAAGTGTATTCCTTGACCCTTCAAATGTATATTTTGACACCAAGGGTGCGTTCCAAACTGGTTCAAAAGCTGAGATATAAATATACTTATTCGGGTTTTGTATGAACTTTATCTCTTTTTTGTTAATAAAACAATTTGACCCTTTTTGTAGATGACCATCCGCCCTGCACCACTGATAAACCCGTAGCGAACCCAAAACCTCCTGGAGCGAGCCAGTGTCGTATTTGCTGGGCCATCACGGCCCCCGGATATATGTATCATGTGCAGCCTTTAATTGCCTGCATTTATAACTTGCATAGTTATCAATACATTCCGAAAATAGAAACTCGCATTACCGGTTTTGAGGGTAATAAATTATTAGACCCGCCCAGTAACACCGTAAATACAACAACTTATAGACAGATTCAAATGAAATGAAATGAAATGGGGTTTAACGTCCTACTCCTAACCTGGGCTAATGAAGACGGACATACGCCATACAGTGTGCTGCTATGAGGGAAATTTTGCCCGGGCAGCGGCGCTACGGCCTACTCTTATATCGAATTCCAACTGCCAAGGGATTTTTTACGTGCACGCCAATTTGTACAAGGGACCTCGGTTTTTCGTCCCATCCGAACGACTAGACAGCGGGTAGAGAGAAAGAGAGAAATGGGGTTTAACGTCCACTCGACACCAACTAGGTCATTTTGGGACTAACATATTGTTCAATTTTATTTCCATAATTCGCTTGCGCGTAGGAGTCTTTAGCAGTGGGAGGAAACCGGAGGACCCGGAGAAAACCCTACTCCTTTTCACGTACAATCTGGGATTCGAAACCACGTCAGTTAACTCAATGACAGACTTTATGATACAACACGCACGTGCTAGCCATTCAGCCATCCAACTCCTCCAGCAAGCGGGTAAATTAGAGCTGTATAATACAACAATTGATACGGAACATATAGCAGCAGGGCGTTAAACACTATTTCATTTTAATTCATTTATATAAGGTTAGTTTTAATAAAGTTAAGATTCGACAAAATATTGCTTACCTTTTTTTGATGACGCCATTTCTTTATGATCCAGGTCCTCCGCTGCTCTACCTGACAGCTGAAAGAGAAAAATACTCCTGTGAACCCCTGTATGACCCATGAATGAAAATGGTTTAAAATTTATCGAATCATACGATACCTCGGGCAACAAATCTCGGAAAATTATCAACTTAACGGGGATTTTGTAAAACTGCTAAGAGTGAGCCATAATATCAGACATATATATCATTTCTGCTGCTGCCCTTTGTATATAGTAGTATAATTAATTAATTTTCAAATGGAATAAACTTGTCTACCAATAGCATAATACCTTGTAAACTATATTTTTTGACAGGTTTCAATAGACATATTATATACCCTAATTTGCCGTTGATGCCAATTATATAGTAGTAGAATAGTTTATTTATTTTGAAATGAAGTCAAGGTTGGCTACCAGTAACATAAGACTTTGTAAAATATATTTTTGGCTTATCATAAAATAAAGATGTACTTACATGCACAAAACTATTAGTAGAAAATCGGTTAATTTTGAAGGAACAACTAAATATATGACAAACGAGCCAATCAATTCGTCGGACTGGCAATCAAGGCACGTCTTAGCTTGCACAAAGAAACAACGCCGTGTTTCCACGAACTTCCCTATTTCCACGAACGCATATTTATAGATATATATCAACTGATCTACTATTGATTTTCGACGAATGACGTCTCCGTGGCTACTAAATAACTTGTTAAACTAGTAACGTTTACTTTTTATTCCCAGGGAATGGTGAATTACAACGTTAACACAGCGGGCTTTGGATTGCTGTGTTTTAAGGAGCAATCGTAGATGTGGTGGGAGTTTTCGGGCAGCGTTTAACCTACTCTATTGGACTCGGTGGGAGCCTCCAAAACCCTGGGACACCCGCCTGCATGTCGATATTTTAAATCTTGTATAATTTAAAGAATGATGCTGGTCCGATGTGTGCTTTTACAGAGTATCAAAGGACCATTATATTCAGAAAGCCTCACACAACTTGTTTGGCATTATTCTGGTTTAGGGAACACCACAAATTCAGTCGGGGTAATTCAAATCGCCAAATGTTGTTTTTTTTGTGTGTTTTATTTCAAAATTATACAAAAAACGAAAAAAAAAACACCATTAATTACCCTTCGTAGCATCTGTATATTCAATGTAAACCTATGCTAATGTGATTGTCAAAATAATAAATATTGCCATTGTTAGTGGGACTTTTAAACCCTTTGTACAACTCATCAACTGCTGGTAAAAACGTCAAGATTTTATTTGTATACCATTTAATTGGAACATACCCAGGGTCACTGCGTGTTCAAACAAGCTTTTACACTGAGTGCGTACATGGAGTGGCCATCCTGTCAGGCAGTTTCGATCCGATTTTATCGAATCATACGATACCTCGGGCAACAAATCTCGGAAAATTATCAACTTAACGGGGATTTTGTAAAACTGCTAAGAGTGAGCCATAATATCAGACATATATATCATTTCTGCTGATGCCCTTTGTATATAGTAGTATAATTAATTAATTTTCAAATGGAATAAACTTGTCTACCAATAGCATAATACCTTGTAAATTATATTTTTTGACAGGTTTCAATAGACATATTATATACCCTAATTTGCCGTTGATGCCAATTATATAGTAGTAGAATAGTTTATTTATTTTGAAATGAAGTCAAGGTTGGCTACCAGTAACATAAGACTTTGTAAAATATATTTTTGGCTTATCATAAAATAAAGATGTACTTACATGCACAAAACTATTAGTAGAAAATCGGTTAATTTTGAAGGAACAACTAAATATATGACAAACGAGCGAATCAATTCGTCGGACTGGCAATCAAGGCACGTCTTAGCTTGCACAAAGAAACAACGCCGTGTTTCCACGAACTTCCCTATTTCCACGAACGCATATTTATAGATATATATCAACTGATCTACTATTTATTTTCGACGAATGACGTCTCCATGGCTAACACAGTTTACTAAATAACTTGTTAAACTAGTAACGTTTACTTTTTATTCCCAGGGAATGGTGAATTACAACGTTAACACAGCGGGCTTTGGATTGCTGTGTTTTCGGGCAGCGTTTAACCTACTCTATTGGACTCGGTGGGAGCCTCCAAAACCCCGGGACACCCGCCTGCATGTCGATATTTTAAATCTTGTATAATTTAAAGAATGATGCTGGTCCGATGTGTGCTTTTACTGAGTATCAAAGGACCATTATATTCAGAAAGCCTCACACAACTTGTTTGGCATTATTCTGGTTTAGGGAACACCACAAATTCAGCCGGGGTAATTCAAATCGCCAAATGTTGTTTTTTTTGTGTGTTTTATTTCAAAATTATACAAAAAACGAAAAAAAACCACCATTAATTACCCTTCGTAGCATCTGTATATTCAATGTAAACCTATGCTAATGTGATTGTCAAAATAATAAATATTGCCATTACACTGAGTGCGTACATGGAGTGGCCATCCTGTCAGGCAGTTTCGATCCGATTTTCACGAAATTCGAGAGTCTTTGTAAATCGGATAAAAATTGTTACAGCTAGAGAGGTTCCATGGGTTTTTGGTACAGGAAACAGTGTCTTTGAGATATAAACGTACATTTTACGCTTCATCAAAATCGGATACAAATTGTGACTCCTAGAGGTCTATAACCTTTGGATTAATACTTTTACACTATTTGCGTGATTTTGTAGGGCTGTTTTAGTCGGATTTTCACGGAATTCTAACTCAATCATCACTATAGTGTAACGGTTACATGTGGCAACGGTTTTCAAAATCGGATAAAAAGTGTGACCTTTTTGTATAATCATGGGCCATAATCCATGAAGTTACGGCCCGATACATGCCAATATCGAACGGAATCGAGATCTGTGGAAGATAAACCTAAATTTCAAGTTTCGTCAAAATCGGATAAAAATTGTGAACTGTAGACTGTCAACAAACAAATTGTGGACGGACGGACAGGAACGACAACAATATACGTCCACTTGAAAATGTGAGCGTATAAAACGACAAAACATTACCGCTTTAACCCATTGTCGTGTACAAATTTGGTAAATATTTACCAAGCTGCAAATACCCAAAATTGGATACCCAAATATATTCTATTGTTTTGAAAACGTGTAGGGAATTACATGTGTTCTTTTGCATATAATGCTGTAATATAGCCTAACATAATGTGACTCATGTTGCGTGCAAGTCTTGTTTTCAGCTATATGCACAGAGACTCCGAAACTAATCGTAACCAAAGCAAGGAAGTTTTTCAGTGAAAGCGTTCTTCAGTAAAACGTAAATGAAATGAAATGAAATGGGGTTTAACGTCCTACTAGACGGAGAGATATAATTTCTGTTTGTCAAGTACCGAGAACAAATTGCAAAAGAATTTCCTTCAATGGAATCTAGTAAAGGGATGTCTTAAGGACTCCCAACTCAAAATTGTCCGCTGAAACCCTGTAGCGTTTTTCATAATTAGCATAAATCCAAGATGGCCGCCAATTGGACTTTCTGTCCTCCATATTTTGGAAACGGCTCGTTTTAGAGCATATAAATGTGTATCATTACACTGAAAAAAAACTTGTGTTGGATCTCAACACAAGTACTTGTGTGAAAATTATTCTACACAAGTTATGTGTTGTTTTGCATTGCATTAACACAAACTTGTGTTCTTTTTAATGCATTAACACAAATCTTGTGTTTTTTCCATATAATTAACACAAGTAATGTGTACCGTCAACAAATATATATATTTTTTTAAATTTGAACTCCATACAAAGTCTTAATCCGGGGTCCACAAGTAAGAGAAAGGTATTTTTTACTCAGACAATATAGCCAGACAGACTTGAATGCTAATTGGTGTTAAGATGTCTGTAGTTAAAATAAAGTTGGGCCCAATAAACTGGTAGATCAAAGGCCTGTTGAGCGCTCATGCCCGGTGTGATTTTAACAATTGACTCCAAATGCGTTGACAAGAAAATAAGTAAAACTGTTATTGAATGTGATTGGTTGATAAAATCAACGTACTATAGGCTACATTTTGTCTGCGATATCATCTCGGTGGAAGCGGACATTAAATGAAGTGATTTCACACAATTAATTTAACATTTAACAACGTGCTGAAATGATTTTGGAGCAGTGATATGTTTGACAAATGTAAGCTAATGGTCACATAGAATACAAGACCGCAGGTTTGTGAATATTTATATAAAAAAAATAATACCATGTATGTAATTTAGCATCGATATTGTTTCTCTGTATAATGTTAGTATTTTGTTCCTTAAAAAAAACTCCAACAATTTAAACCGGAAGTTCATGTTTATAATATGGCGCGGTCAGGAAAAAAATTTCGGCATGTTATTATCAAATCTGTTCAATTTTTCTGAAATCATGCTTAATTAACATTAGTTGTTCGGCGCTACGATGTTGTTCAAATACTTACATTACAGAATCACATTATGATTAAAGCAGAAACGGCTCGACTTGAACCAGCAGGTAAGAATCTGTTTTGAAATTATATCTTGGGAGGTTGGATTGGCGTTGGAGACCCGATTGGCGGCCATTTTGATTCTTGTTTCATGATTTTTTTATATTATAACGATTTTGCCAAGAGTAGACATAAACGCGGGCACAGACTAGAAAAAAATCTTTTTACACTTTTGTGTTAGTTGAATTGTAATCTAATTTATGTTTAAAAAAACAACCTTAAATCTAATAAGCAGACGGAAGATATGGGCGAACAACAAGAAGAAGTTATGGAGGTCCCAACAACTGAACCTATGGAAGTAGAAGAATCGTTTACAGCCGAAACCCGATACGATGTGCCAGTTCCGGTCATGGAGTCCTCCATCTCAGACGATGCCGACGTTAGTGTCTTCTGCGACGAAGAACCCGTAGTGGTGTATACGCAGGTAGAAGCTGGTTCCTCCCGTGGCAAGTCCAAGTTGTTTGACAACCAAGGGTTTAGTTATACAATTAAGGTAGGGTGATTTATTTTACCTAGTTAACTACCTTGTATAGAAATGTATTTCAGCTACAAAATGTAAAGATAATTAACTCTAGTTAACCTAGTTAACTCTATAATAATAAATGAATTTAATATATTTTAGACAGAGAAGAAAACTACGATTTGGAGGTGTTCCATCTTCACCCAGCAGAACCCGGTATACACACGGCTAACAAGATAAAAGTTACAGTAGGTTTAAAAATTATATATCAATTAAATTAAAAATTTATATATGTGTGTAAATAAATAAAATATAAATAAACCAATAATATATTTGTAGTTTAATATGTTTTATCTTATCATTACAGGCAAAGCATGAAGCCAAAGGAAATGTTTTTACCAAGTCATGTTCCTCAATAGCGGAGAGAGTTTTATCCAGTGTCGGTTCTGCAGAAGAACCCATTCATAGCAGACCACCCATGGCAGCACTTGTAAGGTCGCTACAAAGAACCCGACAGACTCTGCGACCAAAAGATCCCACTGACGTGTCGTCAAGCGTAAGTATTCATGCAATTAAATACCCATGTACATAAGAATTTATTAACATGTAATTAAATGTACAATTTTTTTTATTTATTTACATGTAATTAAATGTACTTTTTTATTTATTTTTTGTTTTAGCTTGACGAAGATTTCATCGATCATAGTGCACCGGGATTTTATCAAAAAAGAGTAAAAGTTGGGGAAAGGCGCCATCACATTTTTTGTACTGATAGACAGATGCAACTACTCGCACGCGCAAAAACTTGGTATATGGATGCAACTTTTCGGGTGGTGAACAAGCCATGGTCTCAGCTGTTTTCCATCCACGCCTTCATTAAGACTGGAGAGACCACCCGACAGTTACCATTGGTGTTTTGTGTAATGTCGGGTAAAAGCCAAGACGACTATTATAAGGTAAATAGCACTTACTGATTGAATTACTATTAATAGTAAAAAAGGACTATTATTTGGGACCTTGAAATTGTCACAAATGGGTCGCACTAACAGCGACATTTGTTTCGGGCATATTTGTTTCATCGGTGACACGTCTGGTGTCATGTGAATGCAACGACAACAGCCTGGTTGATTTGTTGATTGGAGTTCAGATGTCTACATTAAAATCGACCACTTTCAGGTTGCCGTATTCACGGCCAGGCAAGACCGACTTGAAATTTCTAGAAATTTTTCTGGGGGAGACAGGCCCCAACAAATCCCCCGACGGTGCGTTTCACGACTTTGGCGCAAGACGGTGACCTTGAAGAGACGTCGAAAAACCATTTAATAGACATAGTAAAAGTCATATCTTACGAGATTATCGCTGGTCTTGTCAGAAAATGCTATTTTATATATGACCAGTTTGTGTTTGAAAAATTTAAAAAGAAATTATTTATTCTCCCACCATTAAAGCACACTAATTACGAAATATCGCTCTCAGAAACTTCATGGTTTCTTTTGCAATTTGTTTGGGGTAAGACGTTATATAAATAATATCAATCTGTCTACCACACAAATTTAACAGATTTGAAGGGACTCAGTAAAGGAAACGCGGTTGGTTTAGAGTTTGTCTGACCCCTTTGAATATTTGCGTCTCATCTCCAATGAAAACATTCATGTTGCTCTCATGCTGTTCTCAACCAGAATCAAACATATATCGTACCCGAGATTTGTTAGCATGTTCCACACAACCCAACATTTATCGGCACCGGGATTAAGGGTGTATATCTTTGTTTCTAACGCTTATTGGGAATACGCCACGGAAACTACAATAAAAACTTATTTACAAAAACATTCTAAAGAGTGAAAACTGACATATTTCAAGCTTTACTGTATTTAAAGAAATAATTTAAATCAGCCGGCTGAAACCCCGTCTCCGCTATTTGTTCAGTCATTCTTTAGGTATAGTGGCAGTTTCCACCGACAATGATATTGCAAACAAGTGTCCAATCTATAAAAGCATACATTCCTACAAAATGTTTCTTTAGTCAAGTGAAACAATAAATTCATAACTATGCGAGGGTGTGGTTAGTAAATTCTGAAAAGGCTAATGTGACATAGAACAAGGTCACATTGTCACGATTTGGCACCTGACCAATTGCCACTCGTGCAAACTACCCCCCCCCCCCCCCAGCTGCGTCTTCAAAATCATAAAGAAAACGAAATGGCATTAATAGTATAATTTAATACTTTATATATTTATATCAGATCGGTAAAACAATCAATTTTCAGAGTTCAGTATGTCCATAGGTCACTTCCGGTGGGAATCAAACCATCAATTCACAAAAACATTATTCGTCCAACGAAAACATTAAACATAGGCCTGCAATACCTATTCTGATTTAAGTTATTCGTAAAACATTTAAACACCGCACAGTTCTCCACAACACAGTTGAGATAATTATAGGCCTGTGGATCCTATTCTGGGATCATCTCAAATGTTCTGTTCACGATATCAGCTACGGCTAAACTTGGCCCCAACGCCGCTCCATATCAAACGTTGCCCAACAATAATCTACACACATAAAAGTTTCACCTACTGGGCGTAATCAAACGTGGCCCAGTTCCAATGTACCTCTGATTTAATTAAACATGGTCCGATATTCACTACAGTTATGTATTCAAAGAAGAAAGGTTAAATTGGCCCCTCCTACATAATCGATCCGATTCGGCCTGATCGAACCTTACTAAAAGACTGACTGACTGACTGACTCTGATGTGCCATCCACATCTGCTTATATAGCCATATTGTGCACATGCTGCATGCCTCAGATGCAGTTGACAATCAAGATGAGTTTGGGGGATACAGCTTAGACAATTAAAATTGAGTTTGGGGGATCAAACTCAGACAAATAGGATGTGAACATAAATATTTATAAATTCGGATGTAAAAGAAAAAATATGATATTTGATTGTGACAACAATGACATGTCAATTAGATAAACCAAAAAAAGTTAATGCTTTGAAATACAAACAAACATGATACGGTTACAGTGTTCAATTTTATGCGGTTTTATTACTGCGTCGATTGTCAGTACGTAACTAGAATTACCGATAATTTATCTTTCAGTGACTTGAAGTATTTGTTGATGAACCGCTTAAATAAATCTCTATTTATTATTGACGTATTTGTTATTGGCTCTAATTTCTGATCGATGTATGAATGCGGAATTACCCACGATCTGATCATTTGTGATTCCTATGAACAGGGGCGGATCCAGGAATTTTTGCAGGAGGGAGTTTTCCAGGTTCCTGAGAAAATGTATCCCCCCCCCTCGGCTTGAAATTTTTTGAGAAATACATGGTCTCTATCGTCATTTTGGCGTATATACATGCATTGATCTTTTTAAACAGAGAAATCAAACATCCTGTTTGACGTCAATTTTTATTATGAATTAATACGATGACATTGTGATTCAATTTTATTGATGCAAAGCATTAATTGTGATATGTCTATATCATTATCTCGCGCTTTGAGTGCCCATCCTGTCGCACCAACTGACGATAAAGGATAAAGCACAATGATGACACTTTTCTCATAAAAAAGGTTGTTTTACAAATTTGCCCGTTTATAAAAGGATTTATGGGAGTGGTTTTGATGTGTTTTATATGCTACTGGGAGTTACTTGGCATCTATCAATCCAGCGATGTCTGTTTCAATATAGTAAGTGGAATAGCAACAAATAAGGATACCTGAACATTTTCATTTGTGAATCGGCATTGGCAAGCTGCAAATGAAGTAAACATAGCATGTTACGTTACTTGGTAGATTGATATTCCCGGAGAATGGCGAATTACTTTGTACAGATACTCGACTGGGAATAAGTCATGTGATAATCGATTCGATGTAATGACCTATTTTGATATTTTCGTACATTTGGAGCAGATTTGATGACAGTTTTGCTGCATACAACTGAAATCTATAGTATGTTTGAAACATGTCAAATCAACAATTATTGACTAAACTTCGAAAATCTTCAATTGACAAAGATGTATACATCATATACCATATAGTAGAACAAAGTAGGACATACTTGAAATCGAAACTACAAGTTTGAACACCATGAGTACATGTTACGTTGGAGACCATCAAATCATGGCGTGCAGTATGCATATAGTATATACGCCCTTTCCGTCTTCATTAGCCTAGTCGGAGCAGAACAGTAGGACGTTAAACCCCATTTCATTTCACTTCATTTCTGGATTATTGAGAGCAACTTAATAGGTGAGCACAACACTATTTACAATATGTCAACTAATATTTTAAAAGCGATTTTATTTAATTCCTGCAACTAATTATTTTCCGCGAGCTAGGTTTTCGGATTTATCATGGCGAATATCAGTCTAGATTCACCACGGATACATTATTCATCAGAGAAAAAAAATAAGAATCCGACATAAGAAAGAAAACGTAATTTGGAACCAGTGTGTTTTAGTTCAGATTAATATGCAATGAATTATGACTAATTACAATGTGCATATTGTGGTGAAAATATAATTTGGCTCTTCTTGCGTGCAGCGATATGCATGCGTCAGATCATAACAAACGGTAACCCTAACAACAAAGCTAATCATAATTCTTCTGTACCTTAAATTCTTATGCAGATCTGAGCTGAGTAAATTTTGTGTATTTCCTGCACATATGGGTGTTTGTTAGGTTACAGATTCTCTATATGGCAGGGGCGGATCCAGGAATTTTTGCAGGAGGGGGTTTGCAAGGTTCCTGAGAAAATATACCCCCCCACCCTCGGCTTGAAATGTTTTGAGAAATGCATGGTCTCTATCGTCATTTTGGTGTATATACATACACATTGAGCTTTTTAAGCAGAGAAATCCAACATCCTGTATGACGTCAATTTTTATTATAAATTAATACGATGACATTGTGATTCAATTTAATTATTGATGCAAAGCATTACTTGTGATATCACATATGTTATATCATTATCTCGCGCTTTGAGTGCCCATCCTGTCGCACTATCTGACGATAAAGGATAAAGCACAATTATGACACTTTTCTCATAAAAAAAAAGTTGTTTTACAAAAGGTTGTTTTACAAAAAAAAAATTATGTAGCTGAGCAGGGGGGACCCCCCCCCCCCCCTCTGGATCCGCCCCTGTATGGGGGTGCTTATGGCGCTCATTGGTCCTGATCTACCCTGGATAATAATTATAATAATATAGCTGTGGGTGTTTTTACTGCAATTCTATATACCGGAAGGCACCGAAAAACAACCGGAAAAAACCATTTTATACTGAATACCGGAAAACACACTAAATACCGGAAAGCACACTAAATACCGGAAAACACACTAAATACCGGAAAACACCCTAAATACCGGAAAACACCCTAAATAGGTAAGGGGCAGCGTACAGGCGTTAGGATGGTTGCCGCCCGGGAAACACTTTCTCCTTTACACACTGTATGGCCATACCTGTCTTTATTAACCTGGTTGGTGCACAACAGTAGGACGTTAAATCCCATTTCATTTCATTTTCCTGATTAGTGTTTTTGAATAATAAAAGTTTAACCAAATGAACCATCGTATTATTTTTAAGTTTTTTGGTTGTGGTGCAGTTAGGACCTTAGACTTACCATTAGAATGTTTCTTGGTTTGAATCGCCGTCCCGGCCGACATCTCTAAAGATATTTCAAACTCGTTTCTCATGTGTACGCTTCATGAGGCTGAAGCCGAATGTCGTTCCGATGCAAGTGCACACAGTATGAATATTAATAAAGCCTATAACTACCATTCGTAATTTCTTCTTTTCGATTTTCTCGTTCTGAAGGGGCGAAAAGTACAGATTACGAATGACAGTTGTAGGCTTCCCTGGAGTGAATATATAACGGAAAAGCCCAACCGTATTGCACAAACAAAAAAGCAAAGAAACAGTCTTAAAATGACAAATACAGTATTACTTACTTATCTTGTAATTGCTTTGTTCTTTT